TAATAATTGTAAGTATATGAGAGGGAAAAGAATTTACGCACCTAATAATAAAGAAGTGATGGGATGGAATCAGTGCCAGCAATAGGATACATTGCTTGTCAGTAGTCAATTGAACTTTCACGAGAACCTATTTGAAAACCATCATCCATGTTTAAAATTTTTCGAAATTCGATTTTTAAATTTTTTTATGTCCACGTATTGAACAACATTAACACTGGAAAACCTACAGTTCCATAATAGGTATTTATTTTTATTTGTATCTTTCTCTTTCATTTTTATTTCTTATTTTTATTTTAGTTCAATAATCTGAAGAAATGGTAAAGAATAAAGTTACAAGGATAGAATTCTTCACAGATAAAGAGCTACACTGACATTGAGTTACTTTCTACGTTAGTATTAGTCTCGTAGCAAGCAGTACTTGCCCATCTATTCCTGGAAGGGATCCCGGCAGCAATTGATTCTAATAACTGCACGTAACGAGGTCGCAGAGTTCAGGGCCAACATCAGTAGAACACGTTCATGTTTATGCACAAAATATTTAAACAGTTTGTATCGGCACGTGCGTCATACTCCACTCTTGTGTCTCGGTTATGTTAATTGACACCGTAGTGGGAATATTACTCATGGTCATTCTCCACTACAATTTATTATTTGGTGCGTACAGTAACCAATTACATAAACATTCTTCGCGTATACAAAATTTATTCTCTTCAAGTACGACGTTTTGTTTGCTTTAATCGCTAATGGAAAACAAGCGTAATTTAATCGAAAAGTACTTATCTTTTATACTGGATATTTATTATATAATTGTTTACGTATTACAATTTTAGTGCATTAAATGTGATGCCACTTTGATGACGCTATTTACGAATTTTTTATCATAAACAACAGCTGGAATACTCGCAGTGAATTTACCTACCAACAATATTTACTGTTGTATTCGTAAAAACTTTAAGTTACTACTGACGAAAATATTTATATATTTATTGTCTTTTCATTACGGATTTTATCATCCATCATTGCCACCGGTTTAAGAATCTAAATAATAAGGATTTTACATCTACAAAAGTCAGTATTGATAATACAATGACAGCGGTAACTAATATTCTATTCATCATGAAACCTACATATCCATAATATAGTCTAGCAGTAGTTTTTAGTATCTCGTAAAAACGAGATTTTGTAAGTTTTTAGGGACAAGTGGCTTCGCGAGTGTATAGTGTAATTAATTCCTATTAAAGGGTATTTACAAAGTAGTAAGGGTATTTGCCCTGTGGTCTCGGCATATAATAGGCCACCCCTGCCTTTTCTGTGTGTCGTAAGAGGCAACTAAGGAAAGGCAAGCAGAAGGATAAGCAACAGCGTATTTCATAAAACATATTTAAATCCCAACTACGGTTGCCAATCCGTCTGTCAAGCATGGCAATTACTGGCAAAACTTCCCCAAGGGAAAGCCTTATGTTCAGCAGTGGACAGTTAAAAGTTGATATAATGATGATGATGATAGATGATACTCTACTCAATAGAGGAAGACTTTGTACAAAGTTATCTTTATGGATATTTATGTCTCACAGTTTCTTCTGCCATGCTTCTTTGTGCCAATTTGAAAGGTGTGGCAAGCTAATGAAATTATTCGATGTAGAGATGCCTCCAATCTGTGGACCTTTATGATATAATACATCTCTTTTGTGCTGTATTTTTTTTAAAGGGCTTCGATGTTATAAAGTTAAAGGCTTTGTTGTTTAAAAGTTAAAACCTAACTTTATTTAAAGCCAGCTCTTCTGAATACATTGTATTTTAAATAAGTTACATTAAGAAAAAAAATATTTATTAAAAGTTAATATTTCTTACCTATATCGAATTCATTCAATGGGCTTGTTTGTAATATATACATTGATAACACGTCACTGATTGCGAGACGTAGGTATTTTATAAACTAATGTATTGTTACGTAGAAAAGCAACTGTTTACGTACATATAAATAATGTCATGATCATGAATCACTTGTTTATGAAAGTCAAGTGTAATGTACGCATAAGTTAAAACCCACTAACATAATATGTTCCAAGAACACGGTTACTGATGAATGGATATACCTTATAAAATGAAAAATTGAACTAGTGGTCGCCCAGTGGTCGAAATTCGACCATAACATATATTGTTATAAATGAATTTATTATTGTTATGTTTGGCATTCAGTAAGACTAGGGGTGATCAACTTGACTAAACCAAAACCTACTATTTACTGACGAAACCCTGTCACTGATACGGTCTTCCAATTACATATTCTTGAAACATAATTCTGTACAAAATTATGTATGTATTATAGTAGTATTTTTTATTTTATTAAGAAGGAAAACATAAAACTGAAAATTATTCTTAGTGTCTATTTATTTATATTAGTGTGAGCATTGCGTCTGAGCATTTTTCGCTAAATTAGCAAAATATTAATATATAATATTATATTTTTAGCCTTTTCACAATCTCTACGACCATATATTTAAATAACTATAAGTGTGCGAAATTTCATACTCCTTTGTCCGCACAAATTTCGTAAAAAGGGATACAAAGTTTTTGCTTCATATATATATATATATATATATATATATATATATATATATATATATATATATATATATATATATATATATATATATATATATATAGATGTAGTTATTTTTAAAAATTTACTACCTACTCTAAAAAAATCATAAGTTTGAAGGCGCTTCTCTTTTTATTTAAGGAATGTCGAATGAAGGGCAAATTCTTAAAATTAATACACTACATACACTTTAAATAAATATCTGTATGATAGATAAAGGTGACTTATTGAATATCTGCCAATAAGATATTTCTAATACATTACAAATGCACATTTATGTGTTAACCTTCAATTCTTTTGCGTTAAGTTAGTAACTTCTTACTAACTCATAGAAGTTCAAACAAATTAAAAAATTAGTTCTGGTGGTCGAAACTTGATTGATTTTGAGAATCAATTTTAATAAATAGATTTAAGATACCTTAGCGTAATCAAGTTTGTCATATTTATATTATCTAGCTTAATATTTATGCTATTGCCATTGTAAGGCATATAACAATAACTGATTTCAATAAAATTTGGTACACAGATGGTATGGCATGCATCCGGATTATACATGGGATATATTTTATATTATTTCACGCAGTCAGAGCAGCAGAACACAGCTGGTGATATCTTAGAAGCAAATGAGCTCATTAATTTTATTTGAATGACACCTCGATAACTTTAATTGAAGTGTCTCATATGTAATTAGCATTCCATCACTGCCTGCATTAGCTACTGCATGCGAGTACCAACATTATCGTATTATGATCACCTATCGTTCCTGAAATCCATTTTCACTACCACAGGCATCGTGTTACTAAAGTACTGCTTTTTGCTCAATAAGGCCTGCTCAGGTGGTGAACAAATTGTGCATTGTTTACACTGGTTTTATTAACGGACATTTTTTTGTGAATAAGCTGTGTAGTTTTTTAAAATTCTATTAATATTAGAAATGTAAAAAGTTCTTGAAGGTGCACGGATGTTTATTACACAATCATGCTAAATCAGCTGCACGACTTGAATGTTTGGTACACGGGTAGCTTATATCCTAACTTAGCCCATAGGATACTTTTTATACCAATTCATGCAGCCAAAGCTAAGAGAAATAGCTAGTGGATTACAATGAAACGGTAACATTGATTGTACTATTAATATACAGGGCATCAGTGAGAGATGATAAGTAAGGATGAAAGCAAATCAATTAGCCCATCGTGATTAATTCAAGTCGATGGGAAAGAGATTGTTAGTAATAAAATCTAACTTGCCGTGTGGTCCCATCATATAATAGGACACTTTCTTTTCCCGTGGGTGTCCATAAAGGTGACTAAGAAAATTCAATAGTAGAGAGATGATCAGCAGCGCCCCTTTTCAAACATCACCAAAACCTAACTGCGATTGCCATTTCGTCTGCCAAGCGTGGTAACTACTGGCAAAACTCCTCTTATGGGGACCCTAACGTAGATAAAATACTCCCCGTCAGCGCAGGCCATTAGTACGAGTATGTACGTATTTAATAAACGGAAGCGAAGGCATTACGCAATTACGCTACTGGCAAATGACAAACAATGTAATCCAATCACATAAATATTTTTTCCGACTAATACGATCATGGCCGGTGACTGAACCCGGCAATATATTGTAAACAAAAGCGTGCCGGAACAAAATTCATCTTGTTACATAATGATATTATCATTTTCATCAAGGCCTATCAGCTGCGCGCATGAGAGCATTTTGATTAACAAAAATATGATCTTTATGTTACGATAGGTAAAAAATTCCGTAAGTACTCTAATTACGGCCTTAAATTTTATTTTTAATAGCAAACTTGAGAATATCATAGAATTTAGGTATTTTATTAATGTAGGTTTTTAATGCAATTTAAAATGGTTAACAAGTTGACCGCCGACCTGATGGACAGTGGTAACTGTCGCAAATAGATATGAAACATGGCTGTGAAGAATTATTCTCCACAGTCGCAATCGACAAGACTATATTTCATCAAGCATATTAAAATCCAACGAGCCGGGGGGCAAGCCTACCGGCATGGTATTAATAGAGAAAAAATACATAATTATGCAATAACCCTATCATATGTTATAATAGTATCATCTAGAAGCAAATTAAACATTTTATCTTTGATATAAATAATCACATCGAACCTTCGTACAACTAGATTTTCTAGTTGTAATAACGTTAGCTGTAGGAATGTTATTAAATAGTTACTTAAATTTGGTATAAGTTTTGTTTACTGATGAATAAACAAAATTTATACCAAATTTAAGTAAGTGTCAAAAAGGTAATTCATTAAAAGTATCTATAACTATAAATATAATAATACGAGCATTTACATTTAATTCATTGTATCTGGTTTTTTCTTCATAACTAAGATTGTCTGTATTAATTTATGTATGTATTTTGTAATACTGACGTCATGCTTGGACCGGTTCTAAAAAAGATAAGTTTGGAAGCTATCGATAAATGTCTTGAGCAGACAAGCTAGGTATGTCATTTGGTGGGAGAATCTGTTACATAGGGGCCATCAAGGGACATAATATCGTATAGGTGGATTATATATGTAGTTAGGTAAGTATAATATTAAATTTTGTCCCTGTAGGTAACCATCTGTATTTTAATATCATTGCTATCATATCGTCAATCAAAATCTGTGTGTTTTAGTCATTTATTACTGATGTTATTTTGAATGATATTATATTATACATGTCTATTTAGACAAGATTCTTGGTTTGTATTTTTCTTCGAGTGTTTTTAAATAACTAAGTAACTTATAAATAAATTTAGTATGAAATTTTATATTTGTATATATTTAATGTTAATAAATTTATATACATGCCATATAGTTTCTATAAGAAAGCATTAATTACTTATTTAAAAATATATGATATGATAATTATCAATAAAGGCGAACAAGGCTTAAACGAAGATAGAATCATCTAGATTACTGCTTTAGACATTCCCATACCTTTTAGATATTAGAATACTTTATTTTTCCGTATCATTTAGTTAGTAGCAGTATATAGTCTTGTTTAATTCTATTGTATCATTTCCACTTTCCTTAAACATTCAATGTAAGTGCAATACAAAATTGCATAAAAGTTACAACTACATATTTTAAAAACAATTTGGCGAGGATAAAGATGGTCAATTTGCACAGCAACAATAACAACCTTGGCTGCGTCAGCAACACACCTTCAGCCCGGGAGCAGTTGCGCAACTGCTCAGGTCAAGGGTGGGAACGTGTTATACCTACTCGGTTTTGGCAATATATTACTTACTTAAAAGCATTCGATGTAAATTTTATACTCGCACTGTTTAACAAAACTTCACTGATAAGTAAGCGAGATTCAAGTTCGAGTTTCACAATGGAATTACGAAAACTGCTCTCTTAGACTAGCGATAAATTTATTTCTCGAGAAATACATTTTCACTATTGTATACACGATATAATTTATTAATATCTATAGAAAATCACAGGTATAGCCCACTAATGAATATTGTGACGGCTGAAACCTCTTTCTATCCTGATATCATCGAATATTTCACTCCAACATGTCGGATAAAGTAACATACTCAATAAAGCCTAATGTAATTCTGTTTACAATGAACAACATCTATAAGTGGGGAAGGTATCGTTAGTAACGTAGATTACCAGACCCACTATTAGCAATATACCTTGTTAGGACGACCTTCCCGTGGTCCGCTCTTGAAATTGGATGGGCTATAACAGACCTTCCTTTTCATTCCTATCTATCATCCCTCACTAGTGCCTTGTCAGTGTATACCGTTAGCGCGGGTGGGGTTGCCATTCTATTATCGTCCATTAAAAAAAACACCATCTATACAAAATCAAAATTACTAACGAAAAAACAGATTTTAGAAATTCCCACGGGAAAGGGAGTCCCTATTCTCTATAGAGAGTTTGTGTGGGCGATCCGCATTGTTTCCTTGTAATTTATCACCAGAAGCGAGCAATTCGACCCAAAAGCCAATCGAGTTTTATTTCCAACATTGTCTACTTCTCGGAACGTCTAGACGACATTTTGTAAACAACCGACACCTGCGCGCGAGGTAGGTTTCGTATGCGAGCAACATCATAAAATTTTATTAATAATGTTTTTTTCTGTGAAATACATTTAGTCAAAAATTATATGTAATATATAATATATATGTAGACGATTTATACGTTTTGTCCTGTCCAGATTGGTCGTGGCGCCAAACCACTTTTTGTGATACTCAGTGCATGGCCTTGACCCGGCTGATCACCGAGAAACCAGTTGTGGGCAATTGTGGCGTTAAAAGTAAAAGCTTTCACCAATAAGCGAGCTTGATTTACAAATGTAAGTATGTGTAGGCGCCAAATTCCTATTTTGTTTGATTACTCTTCATAAATACACATATGTCTGTTTGTAGCATATAGTTTTAGTTTTACTATGATAGGCTTAGGCTCCAAAATATAGTTGTGCACGGAAAGAACTTCTTTGAAAAATTCATGGTAGAAACCCACTACTCATTGAGATATTCAGCAATATTCATAATATTAATACTAGATTTAAAGACAAACTTGCTGTCCCCAAGTATCGTTTAGAAAAAGTTAATAGGTCTTTTATGGGAATAGGTATAAAAATTTACAATAAGATACCAAAGGATATGTTGGAATTACCCTTAAATAAATTCAAAACATCTGTTAAATCATATTTACTGAGCAAAGCCTATTACTCACTAAACGATTACTTGAATGACGAGTGTGCATGGCAATAGTTGTTCATGCACTGAATTTTCATTTAATGTTAGACATAGACACCTATATAAATATACATTGTAAATAAACTGGCTTAAAAAAAAAAAAGTAATTCAATTGAGTTTCTTGCCAGTTCTTCTCAATTGGATCTATATACCGAACTGGATGGTAGGGTAAATATAAAATTATAATGTAAAAATTTGACGTTCATAAGCGGCTAAAATGTCCTACATGAATAAATGATTTTTGAATTTGAATTTGAATTTGATAGTTGGCATGGAATTTTAATTTATGGCGAGGGTGGACATCCGGACTCTCTCACTCACTTTGCAGAACGCGGATGTAATTGACACAGAAATTCTGTGAAGGTATGATACTTCCCCGGTTGAGTCGGTCCTATCATACTGAAAAGTTGTACAGGATAAGAGCGTGGCTCTACCATAGTGGAAGATACAATGCTTTTACTAAGGCTGTTTCATTTTGTTACATCTTATCTCGTTAATATAGCCAAATTGTAAATAGACGATGTCTGTACATAGAATATGTATAAATAATAGAAGCCTAAACAATATTTTTTAGGAATTTTGTGTTTATCGATATTATGTTTATTCCGGCATTACGCAAATAGTACTGCACTAAACTGAATGTGATTTTTACGTTCATATTCCTGAAGATTTCACTTAAGAATTAGTGTATGTTTTATTTTGAAACTTATGTAAAAGTGCCCTATGTAATTACTTTTCCTACTTGCAAAATCCATACGTATGAAGTAGTGGGCTAAAAGCTAGTAAATAATTAATAAAATCATAATGTATGATAAGATTGTTATTTAATGCGTTACTTTACGTTACAATTTTGCGAACCTTCCTACGTCTGAAATTATAATTATAAATTCTTTATTCAGGTATGAATGATGAAATGATATTTAAACCACAACAAAGTCCATCAGTAGTCAGAACTTATTATTTTTTTTTGCAAAGACAATAGGTGTAGTTTCATATCAAAGTAAGTCGCTTCGAACCAGAATCTCGATAGTACATAATAATGTAATAACAAATCAATTTTATATAAGAAACTAATAAATATCATAAATTCTAAATAAAAAGTTAATCAATTTAAAACTTATCAGTGTACAGTGATTTGTGATGAATGATAATTTTTTTTATTTTTTATTTACATAATTTAGTTCTTTAATAGTATAAAATTTATTAATTTATTTCCATGTATAACGACATACATAATTATTTTCAAATATCCTAACAGAACTTACTAAGTCATTGTTGTAAATTAATACACTTTGTTAGTGCTAGCTTACACTCTTACTGTTAACAACAATGGCTTAGTCTACAAATTGCTCCAATATAGAAGTTCTATAAATATCATACCTTAGCTACAAGTAGTTATTTAAACAATGATAACTTGTTGGAGTTAAAATTATTGCTATTTATTTAAGATTCTTTAAAATATAATTTTCAAACACACGAGTAAATATATATTTATGTACTTTATGACTATTCTAAAAAATGCAACTATCTTCTCTCTTATAAGCTTTTTATCAAAGTTAAGCAAGAATTTGACGCAAAAAATATTACGCAATCGTAACTGACGTCACCTATTTATCAACTCGGTATGAACAAGTAAGGGGACACAACAAAAAACAGGCATAAATAAAGACGCTTAAGTTTTTATCTTTAAACTATTTAATGTAACTTTATTATGAGACGCAACCGTGAATCAATATTATTTATATCACATCTGATAGTCAATGATGCAAATCAAATTTAAGATCTATATTTGTTTAAATTTTGCATAACCGGATCATCCGATCTAATATGTTCAAATTTTTGTTCAACTAGTTGTACTATTTTTTTCTAATTATAACCTTTTCTATTAAAATCTTTGAAGAGATTGTTATTAAAAAATTTTAAAGAAAGCTTAGTTTTGGCATAATACAATCATACGCTATCTTCTTCAAAATTTCATCCTTTCATTTCTAGTCCTGTAATTCCCTTGCAAACTTAAACAAACATTTGGTTAATGCCATCTGTCAGTCAATTTACATATACTATCAATATTTCGGAACCTACAATGATAGAACTAGTTTAGAATATTAGTTAATTCATTCATGTATTCTTCAGAGATTTTAATTCAATCCAAAAATCACTTCCCATCTACCTTGTAATACTTAAAAATAAAACTTGTTAATTAACACTTTTTGTGCACTATAAAGATTAAATGACGGACATTCTTTATTTTTCGTTTTTTTTTATACAACTTAGAATGGCAAACAAGCTGACGGCCCACCTAATGGAAAGTGGTAACCGTCGCCTATAAACATGAGCAGTACCATGGACATAACAGAGTACACAGTTTCGCCCATGATACCCCCCATGCGTTGCCATTCTTGAGGACTCAGGTGTTATTCCTCTTCCAGTAAATTCACGCCATATCCCACCCTTCAAACTGAAACACAGCCATGCAAACACAACTGCTTTACGGTTGAAACACGAATGAGACAGAGGTACCCAACCAATCGACTTTTGTGCAAAGTATCCCCCTAAGGGGCTATATTTATTATAACTTTTGCTAATAAAACTGCATAATTCTATATATTTTTTTAATACATCATAGAAGAACCTGTCCAGAATATATATACTGCAAATATACATATTCTTACTTCCCAGTTATAGCTATCTTTCATCTACAAATTCTTCATTTACCTTCATTTTCAAAGTTTTTCTTAAAAAATAATGTGCGTCTTTTTCACCTTAAGAAGATATATTGTACAAAATATACCTACCTATCGCGGGGTGCTAATATTCGTCTAGTTGATACTTGAACATTCTCGAATATACTTAAAATATTTTAAACATTTTTCATAGAATAACAGAAATTCCAAATCAAAATAATAACCATAAATAACCTTTTTAACATTGATTGATTCAAATTTATCGTTTACCTTAAATAGCATAGCTTTATATTTTGTTCTTAGAAACAGATATTGTGCTGTTAAGCTAGATACATTAATAAACATACATGTGATAATTGTTTAAAAATATAGTAACATAAGGTATGGCACGTCATTGTTACTGACATATATAGCATATAAAAACGTTTTACCGCAAATATTACGAGTTAAAGATATCAAATTTTTCACGTAAACAAATAAAAATGCTTATCATTCATTTAGATACAAGTGAGAAACTAAAAATACGAAATTGATAAATAAACATTAGATACACATCGTGTCAAGAACTCTTTACTTTGATTAAAAATTCTTTACTATTTGATACTATTTTATCAAACTTACATCCTTATATAAAAATCAATATGAATATTAAACTCATTAGTTCTAGATGGTTAAGGATAATGCCAGATGATTAATTAAAATATGAATAAGGACTTCTTGATAAAAAGAAAGAAACTGTTTGCTGAAGCTGTTTGTCGTAACTTTTGAGATACCGCATTAGAAGAAGCAAAAAAATACGCTATCGTTTGTAATGTATAATAACATCATTACTGTGTATAAAGTAGTAAATACTTGTATTATGTAGAAATTCGTTTTTTACACTTAGTATACTCGCTATGATAAAACTGCTAGTAAATTATATTACTACTAAGCATTATTGATATATTTTGTTTAAAAACTTGGTATCTGAATTAAATAAATAAGTCTATAAAAGGAACATAATTAAGATTTCGTACTTAACTGAAATCCATTAGTAGGTACTTTAATTGAATTGTAAGCAATAGTTGCATACATTAATTAAATAAGAATGTTGTACCTGTCACATTTGTTGACAAAAAAATATAACGTGAGATATATCTACCTATTTGAGCATGCCCTTGTTGCAGGTGCTGGTAAAATAAATAAGAAAATAAGTCTTATATATATAGTAATACAGATTAAATATAAAATAATTTTTAAAACTACAAAAATTATAAGAGAATAGTGAATGTGTGACTATTCATTTACTGGTTACATATTTACTGGAATTTACGAACCGGTTTATGATTGATAAAAATTGATAAAGATAATTTGGAATCTTAACCTTAGAAACTTTTATTTCCTATCTATCTCTATCTCTATCTCTAATGAGCGAACATTACTAGTTATTATTTAATATGTAGGTACATAAGTGTATCGCCGTGTGGTTCCGTAATAGAATGGACTACCCTTTCTATTCCCGTGGATATCGTAAGAGGCGACTAGGGAACTAAATGGTCAAAGAATAGGCAACAGTGTTTATTTTTAAAAATCACCAAAGCCTATCTACAGTTGCAACCCGCCTGCCAATGCGACTACTGTCAAAACCCTCCAACAAGAAGAGGTTATATGTTCAGCAGTGAACAGTTAACGGTTGGTATGATGATATGTGTAAAAACAACAATGTTTACATATTTTACATATGATGCTAATTATTGTGGTCAATATAATTATTTCGTTGCTTAATAAACATAAATAAAAGGATACATAAACTACGTTGATATTTTTTTATAATAGCATAACATCTTGTTGCTGATTTCTATAAGACTTTTTAATGAAACATGGTTTAAATGAAAGATGATCTAAAACATAATAGAGTGCACTTGTGTAGG